TTTCTAAGGAACACTGGTTTGGAAATTTTTAGTCACAACTTTCTCAAAATTGACTTATTAGTGAAGTAACAAACGGTCATTAATTTTAAAAAATATCGTTTGAAGTAAATGATCAATATTTTCTAATAAAGCAATGTTTAAAATTTTCAATTTACAGTTTTCCTTAAAAATCTGCTAGTTCGCCTTTTTAACTGTAATATCTTATTCAGCGCGTTGAAGATTTAAATGATTAAAAATCAGTTCCCTAATTATTCACTTTAAAAATGTCGTCTCTCACACGCGCAATTTTGATAAAATCAAAATAAGCTGTTATTTCATAATTACATCCTGCTCAAAATTAGATAAGATACTAAAAACTGATAACCTTGCTAACAAAATTGTAAACTCTATCACATTTTCCAAATAAGATAAAATACTAGATTAGTATATTATCGATAAAAATTAAAATAGATTTTTACGGTTTCATTCTTTGGCTAAAATCGATCTTTAATAAGAAAATTTCTTTCTGATTTTATTTAAACTGGATGTACAAATTGACTTCTTTTTCGAATTTATGAATTTAAGGGTTTCACATGAATTCAAAAATATTTTTTTTAAAAAAAGAGTGTATTCCTTTATTAATTTATATCATTCGAAGCCTTCTCCGCACTCGAATGCGTAACAAGAATACGAGCCAGTTTTCCTCAGAAATCTTCCACGAAGGAATTCATCTCTTTAGGCAAATAGCCAAATGAGCTTCGCCATAATCAAGCAAACCAATCAATTCTAAACAGTACAAGGTTAGTTATCTTTTAGCTGAATGTGACGGATTAGAAAAATATGTGAATCGTCTGTCTAAAGAAGGGCACAGACATCAAGGATTGGAAAATAGTTTTTGCTTTGATAAATCTATCTATAAATTTGTCTGCAATTTTTATATCTATAAATTTTATAATCTATTTATAAATTTTATATCTTTTGGCACTAATATACGGTTTCGACAAAAATTGACTTCTGAGCTGGATAATCTTCGAAAGTTTGGCAAAGATAATGAATCTTTTCTTTGCCCTTTTCTTCCATAATAAGCAATCTATTTAATAAGTAGTAGTTAATCAAGTGACATTTAACTTTCGGTAATATTTTTCTTGAATCCTATTTACGCAGTTTCCATATAATTGACATTTTAATATACTTTTAGCCCAAACGGCGTTAGAAGAACTGTTAGTTTCTAGAAAGGCTATTAATTTCGTTTTGGCATTTTGCGTCGAAAACTTTAAATGTCCGTTTAACTTTTCAAATTGTTGCCCCAAATATCATCGCCCCGTTTTATATTTAAAGAAATTAAATAATGAAAAATCTGCATGAATGTGTGTATATTTTTTGCATTGTGATAAAACAATGGTACCTAGAGCCATCAAATTTTGAATAACGTAATCCTCCACCGAATATGGGCATCTGGAAGCCCTAATCTGGAATTTGGAATTTCATATTTTGTAACACTTTTTACGAATTTTTGATTAACAAACTCAACGATTTCAAAGTGAGCAATGGCAACACTGTACGGGGGGAGGACAAGAAAACCATTTTTATCTCCATTTCGCGAGACTGTATATCAAATTCTAAAGTTATGTCATTTTAAAATTATTTTGAACGCCCCTCTGGGCGTAATGTAAAATCTGAAAGCTTTCAGATTTTTTTAAATTTTATTTTATTAGCTCAAAGAGCGTCAGCGCAGAAGGGCTATTAATTTCGTTTCGGCATTTTGTGTTGAAAACTTTATATGTCGGTTCACTTTTCAAACTGTTGCCACCAAATATTACAGTCCTGTATTATATTTAAAGAAATTAAATAATGAAGAATCTGCATAAATGTACTGTATGGTTTCTCCGCATTATAATGATAAAACTACGGTACCTAGGAGCAATCAAAATTTTGAATAGCGTTCGTTTCCATCCCGAATATGGGCATCTGTAAGCCCAAATTTGAAATCGGAATTTGCTTTTATTATTTATTTCATATTTTGTAAAACTTATAACGAAGTTTTTGATTAGCCAAACTGAGTGATTTCAAAGCGAGCAATGGCAAACACTGTACGGAAATGCAAATAAATAAATAAAAAGCCATTTTTTATCTCCAGCGTGCGAGACTGTGTATCGGAAATTCTACAGATATGCTCATTTAAAAATTATTTTTCGATATTGCTGTTAAACTGAATTTTATGGTGTAAGTGCGAAGAACGTGATATTTAATAAATAAAGGTAACACACAAAACGTTAAATAAACACCCCTTTGGGCGTAATGTAAAATCTGAAAGCTTTCAAATTTTAGTTATTTTTTTATTTATTTATCCCCGCCCCTCCAGGCCACTGTTCTAAATATCATTTCAGAGAAGTTACTCACATGGAGGAACGACTATTCGTATATTTTGAGTTTCAACAGCCAAATGGAGTACGCTTCATCGTTTAATGGTAGGATTTTGGTGTCAACGAGTAGTTTGTTGCTTCACGAACCATTATTTAATTATTTACAGTAGTACTGTTAATATTTGTTGTGAGAAATCATTATTTCCACAGATGTTTTTGGCAAAACGGTAAAGAATACTCAATAAGCTTTTGAAATGTTTCAAAATTTGATGTTTAGTATATTTCTCCTTTAATTGTTAGCTTTTAAGATTGAAAACAGATCGGATCTTAAAGCTGAGACGCTGCTGTATTGCGTCATGTTTAAAGCCCCCCCTTTTTTTTCCCCCTTCTTTGACAGCAGTTACAATAGAAATAAGAGCAACTTTCCTGTTCAAACGTCCAGGTGGGTTTTGAATTCAATCCGGTTTGTTTAGCACGTGCATTCACTCCAGATGCGAATGAATCTTGAAAGCTGAGGAGAAGGGGAGAAAGGAGGAATAAATGCAAAGGAAAAACGGAGACAGACTTGCGTCACCTTTTGTGGAGCAACTGCCTACATAATCTGTAATAAGTAAAAAATATTAAAATGTTCGTACATTATTTGAAAGAAATTGTCTGCTGGGAGGACAAAGTAAAATTTATTTTCATGGTAGAATGAGATTACTTTTAACCATGATGTCTAGATAATTTCTGCAATTACATCCAAAATATTAGCAAATTATTAATAAAAAAAAAACTGTAAACGTTAGCTCAGAATTGCGTACTGAATCTTAATGCTGATTCTGGCGGTGTATGCCGATTCCTAACTACGAAAAATTTGGCTAATTTGAAATTTAAAAGTTGGCCAAAAATACCTATGGAAAGTAACAAATAGATTTGTGCTAATTTAATTCGAGTTTTACAGATATTTTGGTAAAATTAATCAAATAAAGCACTGACAAATATGTAGCAGAAACATCAGGGATGAAACTACTTTAATGATTAAATTTACCAATCTACCGATTACTGTACTTTAATGATAAATAGTTACCAAAATCTAAAAACAGAAGTTTTTCGAAACGTATTTCACTTTAAAAAATATTAACTTCATATTCTTTTAAAATCTGAATATTTTCCGTTTTCAGAAACTTTGAAAATTGGACATAAGTTGGGTGGTTAAATTAAGTACGACAAAGCCCACAAAGACTACTGATTTTGTGGAAGGATGCCTATATGGAACGCTTTATAAAGCGCGCTGGGCCATATTCTCGTAATACATAGGGAGTTATACACTTTAGAGTTAGGCTTACCAAATTTGTCTTTGGAACGAAGACAGAAATTTTGTTGATTTCAAACCCATTTTCACTGGACCTATTTATATTAAATTACTACAAATATCGAACTTAAGAAAATTATACCAAGTTTTTCCCCACGTGTAGCGTTAATAGGAGCAGTTACGAGCAAACTACCTACATCAACTTTCTATAAAAGCAGGTAATAATTTGTGCTTATTTTTAGTCCAAGTTATGAAGAGTGCAGCTCGATTTGAACAATTTTTTCAAAGCTTAGTTGAAATGACAAAATAGCATAGTATATTCTGCTTTATGAGTTCAGTTAAATTTTCATTAATAGGTATATTAATGCAGTATATGATGTCTGGACGATAAGACAGTGTCAACGATGTATGCAGAAATTCTGTCCTGCAAACCTGGAGGAACAAAATGAAATCGTAACTTTTGAGAAATTAGAGAATTAAGGAAAATATTTTAGATTTAAAAAAACACTATCTTAATTTTGAAAGATAAAAGTTGATTACATTTAGTAGTAATACCAGTTAGTTGATTAAATCCCCCCCTTTTTATAGTATCCTCCTGACCAGAGGTGAGTGGTTAAGACTACTAAATGCTGGCAGTTCCGACTTCGGTTCGAAAGCAGACGAGGGGGCTGACTGCATGGTTTGTTTTTCTCACGTGTAACATCAATATGAGCCGGTTTTCTTGAGAAAGTCCTCCATGAAGGCATCCCTTCTCTTAGACAAATAGCTCAGATACATATTGTCATAATTAAATAATGTAACCTTATATATCCGTATATCACAAATACTTTTAGGTATATTTGCTTTCACTTCAAAATATCTTAATTTATCTTATTTTATAACAAAATATATTATTATGCATATACATAAGCAAAATGTTTTATATATTAAAATAGTGCTTAAGTTTTTATTAATAATTTCTATTGTTACTTGTGATTTTCCTTATAAAAATGTACATTTTGTGAGCGTTCCAGCTTACAAATAAGAAACTGCATGTTTTATTTCACTCATTTTTCACTCTCATTTCCGATTGTGCACTTAGCACACAATCCATGCTCCGAATTGCTTTAAATTAAAAAGGGCGGATTTGAGATAAATGTGGAAAATAAGCATAACACGAATTTGAAAAATGTATTTATTTTGTAGCAAATTCAATACTGCTTTGTAAATGATAGTTTATTTTCTAATCTAAGTACATAGAAATTATCACTGAACTCTCCCGCATATTCATCAAAAACAAGTAGTCTTGCGTTTTCATTAAAAAAGAAACTGCATTTCCGAAACTTCCGCTCTCATTTATTTTTAAAAAAAATGGTCGCACTTACTTGATTCCCAAATACACCCACTGCACAAGCACGGGATACTTCTTCAGCGCTGAACCATACTCCAGCTAATTGGGAAGGGATACCCAAGATAAACACCTGAGATACAGCAACAATGGTCTGACCCAACATAGTTATTGGGAAACGGTCTGGCGCCAAACTGCCGCATTTCACCCATGAACCTAAAAGGAAATGAAGTTCAAACAAGTTAATAAAATGCACATAAATATTACACCAGAGCATCCCCTTCCCAAATTGAGGCTACACTTATTTGTGCACAAAATATCATGTTCAGGTTAGTAAAGTGGTAGCAATAGACATGAAATGAGCAGATTTTAATTGTTAACCCTAAATGTCCAGGCACTTGATTATCCCTAATAAATGAACATAATTTAAACTGCTAGCTTATTTAAGAACTTTAAAAAAGAATTAAAAATTTTGGTGTAAAAAATATGAATCTAGTTCAGAATAAATCTTTAAACTAACGTTAATTTTTGAAACACGAGTACTATAAGGAAAGTTCTTAGCATGATTTGAGAAAGATCATTAAACTGATAAGTGTGGCATTTGTTTCACTGAAAACGGAATAAAGAAATTAGGATGAGATCATTGAACGAAACCAGTATCGATGAAAGAAATTGCGTTATAGGCTTGTCCAAGTCAAATTTTTCTTTCAAATGGTTAACAAGGCCCACCAAAGGCCGAGAGGTTAAGTCGCTGAACACTGGTAGTTCGGTCCGAGGTTCGAATTCCGCGAACGAGCTGACTGCAGGAGCGTTTTTGTGTTTTTTTCCATGTGTAACGTGTTTCCATTTCCCTTAGAAAGTCCTCCCCGAAGCCATCCCATCCCTAAGGCAGATAGCCCTTAAGACTTTGCCATAATCACATAAAACAAACCAAACTGTTAACACTATGTACCGAAGTCGTGTATGTGTCCAGAAAATAAGATAAACATACAGAAGAGACAAGTCAAAGTACAATAAAGGTGTAATAGAACGGAGGAAAATTCTCGCTGTTGTAAAATAGAAAATGATTCTTTTATTACTTCTATTAACTCTTTAATAATGGCGATAAATTCTACTAAAAAAGTATCTGTAACCATAGGTAGACTTAATAAATAATTCTCATGTCTAATGTCTTCTGAAAGACTTATCTACAATAATAGAGCAAATAAAGAAGTTCATCAGATTGCAGAATAAACACAGGTATTAGAACCTGCCAAGACTCACTTTTATAAAACTATTTATTGAAATTTCTAGAATAAAATGAGAAAATGGAATTTAGTATTTTTGGCAGCGCTTGTAGGAAATCGAGCACATTTCAGGATTTAACTATTAAACTCCTAACAGCCGGACATCGAGTTAGATTCATAATGATATGCTCTCTACTGCCACAAGGGGCATTAGAAAGCTTTATGCATTAGTAGCATAATCCATAATCTTTACTAATGTATTATGAAGAAAAACCTTAAAAACTGCTCTTAAAATGGGTTAGCAGAAAACTTTGAAATTTCAACGAAGAACCGAAGCATACGTAACAAGACATAAAACTATTAGCTACCCTATTAGTCTTAGAAGCAACTACATACCCACTTGAGCCCTCAGATAAAAATTTCGTTGAAAATTTGCGGCCTACACTCGAAACAGGTGTAAAAAAATACAAAATGGCGAGTAAAAAATATCACTTTGAACAAATCTTGCAAAAAAGCAGGAAATAAATACCTTCAAATGCAACTCGAAACTTGGTGGGATCTTTTGTCGAAGCTTATGGCTTGGTAGATTTGATGCCATAAGCACGGCCGACTGAAGACCTTTAGACTCTAAGCATTTAAAAAATTTTCGTGTCCCATATATTTTAAGTCAGTTTTTTTCAGTCATTCCTTCTCTCTCGATTTTGGTTTAACTGCACCATACACATTCCGTGATTAAATCGGCAATGTGAATTTTTTAATGTTCCCTTTCCTGAATACCTAAGGACCTTTTTGTAGTGCCCCCTTCCTTTGAGGCTCAAGAAGGTGCTTACACTGCTTAAAATTAGCCCCAGCTATAAGTCACGAGTCTCCTAGTAATCGGTACCACGTGGAGACTGTTTTGAGGAAATGTCACTCGACTAAATTCTAATACCTCCTTTTATAAATTTGAAATGCTAGAAACTGTGTACTTGTTTTTACTTTTAAAAAAAATCACGTCTTTACTTTAAAAAAATTCGCTCATTTTCAAACATTTGTTTTCTTGTTTCTACAGACATATTTATCCGTCGCAGTGTTTCTTAAACTGCGGGTCACGTCTCCAAAGGGGTTACATAGCAAAATGTTGGGGGTACAGAAATTTAATCCAGATAATGGATTTAAAGAAGCATTAACTGTAATCCCTTTATTATCTTTAATATAATATATTAAAAAAGTAATATATTACTTTACTTAATTACAGAAATGCACAGCATATTATAAAATCGTAATATTGACCAAACTGAGCTGTAAATTATATTTACGTATTGAAAAACGCAGTAAATCCTTGCTGAACGTGGACCTTAACTGTTTCAATGTAATTTTTCAGACGCTAGAATTTTACTCATGCGCGATACACAGCAGAGCGCGCCCGTGTAGCCATAGTAGCATGTTCTTTATAAGAGACTACACACACGAGCATCTGACAATCCTCTTTGGCGCTACCGGCTAGCTGAGTGACCCAGACGGAGTTGCGATTTTTCACTTCCGTTAGCTAAGCTGTAACTAATTAATATTTATCCTATTTTCCTTTTCCTTTTGCATTTGTATTTTTTTTTTTTTTTTTAATTTTTAAATTTCGATATGACATCTAAGAGGAAGGATGAAGATGATAAAGCAGACGCAAAGTTTTGTCATAATCCTCAGATGACTGAAATTTTAAGTAAGCTGAAAAATTATACGCATATTTCATCTCTAGACAGAGAACTATTTATAAACGAATCAACCACAAGAACAATGTGGGAGAATGAAGAAAAGATTCAGTCTAGTGAAAAAGCTACTTTTGACAATGGTTGCTTACGTTTCAAGAACTGTAGTCGGAACGATGCAAAATATATTAATAGCTCGGACTGACAATGAATAAACAAAAAAAGGCTCACCTGTGAATTTTGTTGCTATTCTAAATTAAGCTTTAGGGCTTTCCCTCCCCCCCTTTTTAAATAAAGATGGTCAAATGTCAGAGAAAATCAGCTTTCGAGCAAACAAAGGTTGGCTAAAAAATTTTAAAATGTAGCTTTTATTTGCACAGGATAATGCTTCAGGAGGATGCTGGTAATACAGATAAAAAAGCAGCAAAGAAATTAGAACATCGGTTTCTGAAATCCATTAAAGATGGGGGTTATGTTCCTCAACAAGTTTTCAATAAAGACGGGCCCAATTTATAAGCTAATGAGGCAATGAACCTACATCTCAAAGACATCAATGTTTGCTTCAAGTTTTATTCAACTTGTGGATAGACTCACTTCGTGTTTTTTTTTTTTTTTTTTTTTTTTTTTTTTTTTGCCGAAATGCACCAAAGGACTTCAAGTGCACGGTTTCTGCTCATATAGCGACGTCAAACGCCTCTATTGCAGTGAAATATGTTTGAGCAATTACTCATTGTATGGAAGTGGAATAGAAACACTTGGCTACTCTCTCCTAATGACTCTTTTTAATGACTGATTTTGAAAATCCGTTCATTAAAAAGCCAAGAATTGCTTGGAACAGCAAAAACTTAGCTTTGAATTTCTCCTAATTCTCGATAATGCTCCAAGACAAGATGCTGAAGTCCTCACAAAATTGCATCCAAATGTAAAGGTATTATTCCTTTCACCTAAACCACTTCCTTATCCAACCAATGGATTAAGGGATCAGCAAAAACAGAAACAAGCATATCCGTCTCATTAAAACATGATTTTCTTTCATTGATTTTTATACACTTGAAAGAAATCCTAAATGTATTTCCTTATTATATATTGTTTACCAAAGAAATAAACTATTTATGGGAAAATACGAGGGTTGGGGCAAAAGTCATGGCAACTATTTTTTTCTTGTAGATATGTGAACGGATCACAAAACGTATATGTGTCGCAAGGAAGTTCTGCAGGCATAGTGTGTATGCAAAACAACATATGGCTCTGTGGTAGCGAGGGCTCTGAAATCAGTTCAGTTGGTGAGTGTCGTGCGAGATGGAAGTAACCGGTGTTGAGCAGCGCGCTTACATCAAAGTAGCCGTTCTCCGAGGGAGAAACGCGATGGAATGCCACAGTGAATTAGTAGAAGCCCTTGGGAATAATGCCCTACCATATCGAACGGTAGCACGGTGGGTAGAAAAGTTTCAGCAAGGACGTGTGTTAATCAGTGATGAGCAACGTTCGGGACGACCAGTGAGTGTGAGGACCGACTTGGCACGTGCCGTCATCGAGCACCTCATGGATGAAGACAGACGATGGACGTTACTGGAGTTAGAGAGGGCAAATGGCATCAAGAAACACACCGTCCACAGGATATTACGTAACGAGCTACAGCTACGCAAAATCGCTTCGCGGTGGGTACCGCATGCACTGACGGAAGTTCAAAGGTGGGTGCGCTATGCAATATGCTCCGACCACTTTGCACGCTGGCAACGGACGGTGATCAATTCTTGTCACGAGTAATCGCCATCGATGAATTTTTGGCCAGGGCACCAGGGCATACGAACCAGAACTGAAACGTCAGACCGTGGAGTGGCGACATCCTGGATCACCAAGGCAGCAGAAGGTCCGTCAGAATCCTTCCCCAGTCAAATTGATGGTGATCGTCAAATTGATTGTTTGCCACTTTGTTCCTCATGGCAGAACAGTGACAGCACAGTATTACAGGGACTTCCTGGTGTGACAGGTACGACGTGGCGTTCGGGATCTTATGGACAGTGCAATAATTCTGCACGACAATGCAAGACCACATAAAGCAGAGTGTGTACTGCAGCTACTCCGACGTTGGGGATGGGAAGAATTAGAGCACCAACCGCATTCTCCTGAACTTTCGCCCCTGTGACTTTGATCTCATTCCCAAGCTTAAGGAAACAGTACGTGGTAGGCGGTTTGCAACACAAGAGGACATTCCTAATGCTGTGCGCCAACAGATGACCCGATTCACACATGGTGCGGCAAATGCTGAGGCTGATGGTATTCAGCTCCTCCCACATCGTTGGCAGCG